CAGATCTCGGTTTAGACATCTGAATTTCCAATGGCCACGTGTAGGCAGCAAGTTGTACATCTTTCTCAGACAATACTTGTAGTTAAGAAAAAAACAACTGTAAGAGATTCCGGTTCTACATAATATTTATATGAAATCTTATGCAAATCAATGAACACAAGACTAAAATAGTTGCCAAGAGCTAGAGCAATGCTAACATTTTTTCTCTCCCTTAAGTAAAATGCTGTTAAAGTGATACATCCTCAACTGTTTCCATTTGCAGGGAGGCTGCGCCGTGGTTCTCATTTCTGCTAGAAACGAGCCTACGTCAGCGGATCCTGGGCGCTGGGTAATATAACACAATCAAATTCACCCTTCTTTTGAGAGACTCAAATCCCTTTATAGATAGACTCTAACTCCTTTCGAATCCTGAGAGGGACACAGTCTGGGCAGGTTTTCTGGTGGAAATCTCTATAATACGGCCCCTTGAATTCTGCTGAATTAGACAAGGCAGAGTAACCCACCCAAAGCAATCACAAAGGTTGGTCACTTTGCATATGTTGTCCCTCATTGGTTAAAAACGGAGGAGCTCCAGCAATGTTGAATCCGTGGACATCTGGGGTTGTAAGGGCTCTTATTCAGGTGACAAGCACAGTAAGAAAAAGCGCAGGGTGTGTATGTAGTTGGGTCACTGGCCCCTGACCTACTGCCCCTGGCCGTGCCCTCTGCCCACCCACACTCCCTGCCTGCGTTCCTGGCTTCCCCCTGCTCCCCACTGCCTCATTTCCCCGTCCTGCCCCTCAGCTTTCCAAATGCGTCTTCAAAACAGTAGGCTCGGCTCACCTGCTCTAATGCTGAGTGGCCATCATGCCTCTGCAGTTATTCCAACGGGCACTGAGCACACGCCCTGCTCACTCTCACCTCCAACACCCCCCACACTCACACAGAGGGGACAGGAAGCAGTGAGCACGTGGTGTGTGCCCGTGCCCGACTCCGACAAGGCACAGGACTGTGGATGCTGTGCCTGTATGTAATGTATGCTTAAGATTTAGGCCAACTAAGTTGCATCGGAAATTCTGGTTCTGAGAGTCAGGAACCATTCCCCATGCTAACTTCCCTTCCTAAACACACGGATCTCGTTGCACATCACAGACTTATATTACGTTTCTTCCAACAGAACTGAAAACAAAACAGGAAAGCACTCTAACAAGTACTCACAGTAGAGGTCCACCTTGATTCCCTTCTCCAGTTTCTTGCGCCCGCAGGTCACTGTGCACAGGTACGAATGTTCGTTCTCAAAACCCACAGGGCTCAGCGTCAGCGTGGACCTGGGCCCCTCGCTCCGCACCTGCCCGCTCAGAGGGCTGTCTATCTGGGTTCTCCAGGAGAAGGACGGGGCCTCGCAGCCCGTGGCACCGCATGTCAGCACGACCGCGCCACCCAGCTGAGCAGCAACCTGGGGTCCAGGGCCGATCTCAACCGTGAACGGTTTTTCTGGTGGAAAAGGACAAGACGCAGGAAGGTGAGAGGATTTTCTTCTTTCACCACATTCCAATGTATGGTCTTTGTCGGGTGTTTTCTGTTTTGTTTTGTTTTCTGATTTCCTTTAAGCTAATATCTGTGCCAAGAAACGGTTACTCCTTTCCACCTGGGGACCATTGGGATGAGACCACACCTAGTAAGATGAACCCACAGCAGTCCACCGGCTCAGTCATTGAACAGAATGAACGTGGATAAAAATTTGTCAAGAGAGAGGGGGGCATATGTCATAGCAATAATTCAGTGTCTGCTCAAATGCAGGGCATCAAATCCCTGTGATAGTGGACAGCACTCAAGTCATTTAAGAGGTTCCAGTGCATTCAGCATTGTGTAAACCACTTTACGTATATGGTCTCACTTAATCCTTACGGCCTCATAAACTGTTGCATTAATCCTCCTCCTCCTCCTTCTCCTCCTCCTGTTTCTCCTCCTCCTCCTGTTTCTCCTCCTCCTGTTTCTCCTCCTCCTCCTCCTTCTCCTCCTCCTGTTTCTCCTCCTCCTCCTCCTTCTCCTCCTCCTGTTTCTCCTCCTCCTCCTCCTTCTCCTCCTTGAGGAAATTTAGGCTCCGAACTGCTAAATAACTTCATACAACTTGCAAGAGACAAAAATTAAGGCTCGAAGCCAGGTGGGTCTGATTCAAGATCCTAGCTTTTCAGCTGCTTGAACAACTCAATCCAGTCACCCTCGTGTGGAGATAAAACAAGACCTAAGAAAAGCACTGAAGAAAGCCACAAAGCCACAAAAACACGTCTTCCCGTGAGATAGGGCCCGCAGTGGACCAGTGCCCGGAGCGTCTGTCCCAACGGTGTGAAGTTACGCATTGAAAGTCACACTGAAAGCAAAGTCACGGGCCAAGCATTAAAGCGGCACAGGAGCCACCTCTAAACTTTGATGCAACATAAAAACATGGGGACTGGAAACTCAGATGGGAGGGCAAACTCTGCCAAGTCTCCAGCATCCAGGAAAGCCCTTTGGCTGCCAGTGTCATCCCCGCTGGGCACACACCCTGCTGTCTGGGGAGGAAGGGAATTCGAAATCTCCACTTCGTTCCCCTGAAGAAGCAGGAAGTGCGGGGCCACTCTGAAAGTGACAGGTGAGCCTCCGCGGGAAACCACTCACATGGTCCTTGTGACTAGCAGGCTGGGGATGGAAGAAAGAGACCTCAACACAAAACACCCCAAATCCACCACCCTGCACGGGTTCTCTTCTGTGCCAGGGGGGGCGGTTTCTCTCAGTGTGGCTGGTCTGGTTGTGACATTGTAGTAGCTTCCCAGGAAGGTTTCCTCGCATTACCTCAGTAGACTGATGGGCTCTGAGGTCCTGAAAGCGACAGCTCGTTCAGAGCAAGGCCCAGGGTTTCCGGGTTCCTGACCCTCTGGTGTGGGAAGGGGGAACTTGACAACAGAGCCACTTCCTGCCTGTGGACATGTCTCAGATCACTTCTTTTTTTTTTACAGTGGCCACTCTGTTCCCACGTGAATCTGTGGCTCCTGTGGGAGTACCTGTGAGGTCACTGAGAGGTCCTTTGAAAGTTCAGTTCCTTCTTTACCGCTTAGGCTGTCTGTATCCTGTGATGCAGAACAACCCTTCCTCACCCAGCTGTGTCTCCCTCTCACTGAAGTGGGACGAAGCTTACGATGGGGTGGGGTCTTCTGCGACAGAGGACCAGCCGTCCATGCTTTTGTCAGGGGTGCCTTTCCTGATCTCCTGAGAATGCCAGGGTACACCCACCTGAGTGCATCTACTGATGGCGAGGTTGAATTCTACTTTTTTAACCAAGTTTAGCCTCATGTTTTCACATAAAAAATGTGAGCTGCCCACATTTACAAGGTATTCATCCTGCCATTGTGGAGCACCTAGCATGTGGCCGGCACTGCACTCTTGCAGGTGTGAGGAAGATGAATATATAACTGAGCTGGAGCATGCAACAACGAGATGGGGCACTGGTAAGATCTGAGGGAGCAATTGGGCATCGAAGCTGCCTCGCCATGGCTCAGCCCAGTGGCAGCCTCTTCCTCTTCCTTTTGCACATCTCACTTACCTTGAACAAGTAACTCCACCTCTTTTCTGTCTTCTCCAGCCAGGTTCACTCCGGCGCACACGTAAATTCCAGAATCCTCCATCCTCATGGCAATTAAAGTGAGAGTTGCATTTCCAGAAAGGGGCTGTAGGTTCCCGTTATCTAACTTCCTGCTCCAGAGAATCTGCGGAGCTGGCAGGCCTTCGCTGGCGCAGGTCATTGTCACGGAGCCGCCCTCCTGCAGCCTGGTGGAGGGGCTCACAGAGACAGTGGTGTTCTTGGGGGAGACTGAAAAGACAGGGCACGATGTTAGCAACTGCTGAGCCCCGCCTCGACCCAATAGGAATGACGTATTTTTTCAACAGGCCGTATATCTGTGCGCCCACAACTTTGACAAACGTACTGTGTCAGACTAGTATCAAAAAATTAGTCCATCCAGTTTCTGACTAGTTTGATTGGGCTAATTTTTTTTTATGGTTGGTGTTTTCAATTGGCTACAGATACTCAGAAATTAAGAAAGACCCTTAATGTGGTTCAAATACTTAATTGTAGCTCTCTTTTCCAAGTCCTGCATTGTCTAGGAAAAATATTCCCTATCTTGACTATTCAGAATTTTGATAGAAGTCTCTCCCTCTCATTCTCTTTCAAGCATGCTCTGGTGGGCAATACTCCTTTTCAGGGTGGTGTCCAGAGTGGAACAGTGTTTTAGTCTAGAACAGAGTGCAGCAGGGCCACTCCTACACAACCTTGGGACCGTGAGGCGGCCTCAGAACCCCACAGCCTCTGGGAATGTGGGGGCAACCAGAGTCCTCTCCATGCCCCCACCCAACACACATGTACCCACAGAATCAGTGCTCGCCTTGTAAGATCTCTGTATCTTGGTATTTCAGGGCACAGTATAAGAATTTACAAACAGGATAAAAAATTATACCATTGAGCCCATTTCCTACTACCCAGTGTATGGTATTATTACTTCCCTTAGATAGGCTGGGAAATAGAGAAATTAAGTGACTCAAGTTCATAAGTCTTATTAACCCACATCCAGCACTCTTTTCATTGAAACGCACTGTTGACAAATACTATGTTCTCCGTGAATGAAAACGGACTAAAACAAGTTTCTGCCCAACTTCAGCCGCTAAGCAGACTGCCGTATCCAGCCAAGACCAAACTCCCACCAGGGCTGACCAGTCCCACAGCCCTTACCATAAACCTGCAGCTCTTTCGTGGTCTCCCTTTCCCGGAGCTCTGCATCGACTTCATTGATGTGCAACATGGCTCGGCACACAAGAGCCTTTCCCATGTCCTCTCTGGTCGGAGTGAAGGTCACCTCCAAGCTCATGTTTTTCAGGGACTTGCTCTCCATCGGCTCCAGAAATTCTTGGTTTTTCAGGAGACGGTTGTCCTTCAGCAAATCAATCTCCAGCCTGTCGAATGGGTAAACATCAGGGACCAGACACGTGGCTGTGACCGGCTGTCCCACCTGCAGGGGGCCAGGCAGGTGAATCTCCGGGTCCTTGGGGAAAGCTGCAAAGATCAAATGAACACGCGTGAGTGGGCTCCGCGCTCGTGTGTGGCAGGTCCCGTAGGGGCTTAATGCAATGCAAACCGAATCTAAAGTTTCTGTTAGAACAGTCTTGATTCTCTGTTTAAGTCGCCTTTCATGATTCGGATCAGCTCACGAATCAGAGTCAATCACCTTTTAGCCAATTCTTCAGCTCTGATCCTGTATGTCTGAGGTGTGCATGTTATTGAGTAAAAGAAGGGAGAAGAAATGAATGTTTATTAAGGACTTACATGTGCCCCTTGCAGCGCTATTCATTTAACATGAGTGATTTTATTCTGTCCACACAATAACCCTAAGAGATGGAGACCATACTTCACAGATGTGAAAACACAGACTTGGTGCATTTGCATAACTGGCCCCAAGTCACCCGCTAGTCAATGCGAAGTCTGGGATTTAAGCACAGGATTTCTGTTATTCTGCATTGTCTCTGAAGGTTTATATTTCATTATATCACATTCTCTTATTTTAGCTGGGGCAGATATATTCCCCTTTTACAGGTAAGGAACCAGAGGCTCAACATGCCATTGCAGAGAATATCGGTTGGGCGAGATGTGCTAAGAAGGGGAAAGAGCCACGTTAAATGATTGGCTTCTGAGAAGGGCACCTCTGGCAGGAACTGATCCGCCAGGAAGGGACGCCTGTGCAATGTGTAAAGTCCGGAAGGCAGGCTGCCTCCTGCAATGCCTAACTCAGTGCCCACCCAGTCCTGCAGGGCGCCTCTCCGGGCCCGGGGCACGCACTGCTGGGCTCAGCCTGGGCCTCCTTGCAAAGGCTTCCTTTTCAGACCTTCAGGATGCTGACGAGGGTTTGGCTGGATGCGAGGCTCTGCGATAGTAACCCAAAGGTCTCGGCCCTAAAGACTCTCACAACCAAGTGTGTGCGACATAATGCGAGACAGACACATGGAAGAAAAACTCCAGGCAAGATAATGGGGGCCAGAAGGTCTTCCCTTCTCTTCTTTAAATCGTCAGCGATTTAGAACGATGAGCAAAGGCAAAGGAACTAGAAGTCTCGGATGTGAAAGAAACGCAGCCCTTTTCATTTTCCCACCCACAATCCCTGTCCCTCCGATTCTGGAAGGACTGTGCCTGTCGCCCACACAGTTCGCTGCCCGGTAATCCAAGCCCTTGCTACTTTCCCTCTATTTACAGAAGGGGCCCTTCTGGGGCTCAGGAAGCTGCACACACAGCGAGGATGCCTGCACGGCCCGCACAATGGCAAGCAGCCCGCCAGGCAGTGTCCTGGGAAGAATTAGCAGCACATGGGCCGGGAGGAATCGGCTCGGGTTTCTGGGCAGAGCTGAGCTCCGCGACACCAGAAGGGAAGCAATATAATCATAAAGCAGGCAAAGGAGGTGGGCCTCCATGAAGCGCTGGAAAGCACTGCCGGTTGGTGGTTTTTGTTTGTGAAAGAGGGGCCCTCAGTCACCAAGGCCAGTGATTGATTCCAGCCTAGTTGTGCACTCCCCCTGCTGACTGTACTTGCCCGACGGAGAGCAGCCGGGGATGGATTCCGGTGGAATGCTAAGCGAGGGGCATCCATTCACATTCACCAGGCAAATCTAATTCATTATGCAAATGCCCTTGGGCTTGAGCAGTTGAGCATCCAGGATTCATGGCACCAAAAGCAGCAAGGACGAACTCAAACTGACCCACACCAAGATCCAGTGAGCGACGTGGATGCAGATATTCTTCTTAATGTCCCGGGGGGAGCTTTTGTACAGGGGCCTGTGACTAAATCACATCTCTCCCTCACACCCATGCTGAGCACCCCATTGCATAAGACTAAAGAAATGGGCAATCCCTGAAGGATGCAATTCATGAATCATGTAGACGCATGGCCAAGTAAACATGGAAGGATCTAATCCAAGAGAAAGTTTTGTGAAATAAGAACGTTAGAGAGCTTCACTTCGTGGCTCAGAGCAGCAAAGCCCGGAGCAGTGAAGTCTTCCCGGCTACCAGGTCTGTGCAGAGTGGGAAGTGGAAGGCAAGGCTTGGGTGCCCGGGCTCATGCTAAACTCAGCTGTCTCTCACTCTCTGGGTGCAAGAATCTAGTCCTCTGGCCAAGAATCTAGACACGGACGATGTTTTTCTTTTCAAACTACCCCCCTTAGGAACTTCATTTAACTCAAACTTGAGAGACAATAGGACACTCAGGTACTCACAGTAGACTTGCACCTCGATGCCCCTCTCGGCCTTCCTGGCCCCGCACGTGGCGGTGCACAGGTAAGAGTGCTCGTTCTCGAAGCTCACAGGGTCCATGGTGAGCGTGGACGTGGAGCCGGCGTTCCGCACCTTCCCGTTCAGCGGGCTGTCGATCTGGGTTCTCCAGGAGAAAGCTGGGGCCTCGCAGCCTGTGGCCCTGCACGTCAGCGAAACCGAGGCGCCGATCGGAGCCATGACGGGGGAGTCAGGGGAGATCTCGATCTTAAAGGCTTGAGCTGGGAAGGCGAGAGGAAGACAAACTCACCCGGGTTCGTCTAGCGTCCCCCTCGCCTCTGTCCCAGCACGATGCCCAGTGTGCTCTGGCTGCGCTGCCACTCTGCTCCCCCCACTGCACGGCCCCAAAGGTACGGGAGTCGCTGCCAAGGAAGGTGTCGGAATGATCTCCATTCAGCGACTCTGACCCTGACGCCCATCTGTCAGCCTTGAGTTGTTGTTTGCTAAGCTTGATCTCATTATCAAGCTCAGGAAACCAAAGAGATAGCCCTTGCCAGGGGCAGATCCACAGACTCGCTTGACACTGGGGGAAAAGCATCCAAAGCAACATCCATCCGCAGCTCCGACTGTGGCACATAAGGCTCCATAGCAGTGCTCACAGCACGTTGGAAGCCAGGTTCCGTCTGTTCCCGCCCCGTTAAGAATCCCAGTGCCTTGCCCCACTCCCCCAGCAAAACTGGCCGAAGCCACAGTCAGGGCTAAATCGGAACCCGAGCATTCCCAACGGGTCGGGAGCAGAACTTACACGCAGCAAACACCATCCAAAGTAGAGTCAAGGCCCCAGAGATCCCCTCCATCTTCCAGGCGTGTTACGCTGCTGCCGGAGGAGAAAGCGGTGGCTCCCAGACCTGCCTCTGCCCCTCGAACGTGCCTGGGAAGCGCGGTCAGCTCCCGCAGCAGTGGGCGCAGTGGGAGTGAAATAGAAAGGCTGCTCTTTATAAAGGGTCTTGTCGCAGAGGCGGAGGGAAATCCCTTCAAGGGGAAACCCGGAGCAGAGCCAGAAAAAAAAGTTTCCCTGACAGCCGGCCAAGGCCAGGGTTAACCCCTTCAGCGGCCGCTGCTGAAACCGCTCCCTCTGCCCCAGAGAGGACCCTGCCAGCTCGCTGCACAGTCAGGCTTCTCCTGAGGCTCTCGCCAAAGGCCACCTTTGCCAGATGCACCGGAGGCCCTGC